ATAGCGTGATACAAAAATCCCAGTACATACCTTGCTCAATATTATAGCGATCTACTTATACCCCCCGTCCCCGAACGGCGATAAGAGAGATAGATCATCACATGACGCAATCTTCCCAATCGGCCGCGTGTCTCTTTCCACCTCTGCAACTAAATTAAATCAACTACAAAAACCACCAGCTACGAACCACCTCAAATCCCAATCCGCAATGCCAATGTCCACTTGAAATAGTCCCCTCGACTCAATTACTTTCTCACCCACCACAAAACACCCACCGGGAAAAGAAGGAAACAACAATGCCCCCCGCCAAAATCACCATCATCCACCCCGACCTGGGCATTGGCGGCGCAGAACGTCTAATCATTGACGTGGCACTAGCACTACAATCGCGCGGCCACCCTGTTACGATTTACACCTCGCACCGGGATAAATCGCATTGTTTCGAGGAGGCGCGCGATGGGACGCTTGATGTGCAGGTGCGCGGGAATACGATCTTCCCGGCGCATGTGGGCGGACGGTTGTTTGTGCTTATGGCTATTTTGAGACAGTTGCATTTGACGTGGGAGTTGTTGGTTGGGGAGGGTGCTACAAGTGGGGATAATGGAGAGGGTGAGGAAGAGGAGGTGTTTATTGTGGATCAGATGCCGGCCTGTGTGCCGTTCTTGAAGGTGTTTGGGGGGAAGAAGAATAGCAGGAAGAAGCAGAGGATTTTGTTCTATTGTCATTTTCCGGATCAGTTGCTTGCGAGGAGGGATGAGGGGGGTTCGGTGTTGCAGGTGCTTAAGGGGTTGTATCGCGTGCCGTTTGATTGGTTTGAGGGATGGGCTGTGAGTGCGTCGGATAAGGTGGTTGCGAATTCGAGGTTTACGAGAGGGGTGGTTAGTGGGGTGTTTGGGAGGGAGAAGGTTGGGGAGTTGAGTGTTGTTTATCCGTGTGTTGATACTAAGGCTGGGGATGGGGGTGAGGGGGTGGTGAAGGAGGGGGAGCAGTTATGGGGTGGGAAGAAGATCTTGCTTAGTGTTAATCGGTTTGAGAGGAAGAAGGACCTGGCGCTGGCGATTCGTGCCTATCATGGCCTTGGGGCGGAGAAGAGGAAGGGGACGAGGTTGGTTGTTGCTGGTGAGTATTGCCCTTTTCTGACTGACGGTTGAGGATGCGCTCGTTGTTTTGCTGGTTGAGAGGAGTGCGCTAACTGGTTGTGTGCGTGGTGCAGGTGGTTACGATAATCGCGTCCAGGAGAACGTGCAGTATCATCGAGAGCTGGATGAGTTGGCGACTGGGTTGGGCTTGCAGACGGCGACATCTAAGACGGTTATTTCGGCGCTTTCGATCCCCGATTCTATCGATGTCCTGTTCCTGTTGTCCGTGCCGACGGCGTTCCGTGATACCCTTTTGCTGCAGGCGAAGTTGCTCCTGTATACGCCAATCAACGAACACTTCGGGATTGTGCCGGTTGAGGCGATGCGCGCTGGCGTGCCGGTGCTTGCGTCGAATACTGGAGGGCCGTTGGAGACCATTGTGGAGGGCGAAACGGGCTGGCTCCGTGACGCTAAGGTGGATGCCGATTGGACGGCGGTGATGGACAAGGTGCTCTATGGCATGAAGCAGGAGGAGCTGGACAGGATGTCTGTGGCTGCGAAGGAGCGAGTCGAGAAGGAGTTCTCACTGACGGCCATGGGCGAGAAACTCGAGCAGGAAATCGAGGAGATGCTCGGCCAGGAGCAGCGGCCGTTCCATGGCTTCCAACAGGTTCTTGCCCTGCTTGCGTTGGTGGGAGTGGTGCTTGCCCTCGTTTCTGCATTTCTGGTGAAGCTGCTTTGATTGTTTGTCAAAATAATACCCTTAACTTGCGTGTACAATATTCAATTTAATGCTCAGTTCATCCTTTTGGATATCCAGTAGATATTGAATGGCTTCACGTGACACCGCGCCACCGACGTGTTCCCCGCGACACGTGCCGTCATCTCCAACTTGGCAGTTGTTCTTCATCCCCGCCGTTGTCATCACCAAGTTGGGTTTTTTGGTGTTTTGGGCAAGATGCCAGAGGTCATCGACCTCCTCTCCTCCACCCCTCCGCCCCCGATAGAAAGACGCGAGCAGCTGTCTATCCGCAGGGCTCATTCACATCCGCCTGTGGTGCCCGCCTCGGACTCCATCTTTTCCGACGAGATCGATCTCTCCGCATTTACCTACGATAACCCGATTGAGCAGCCCGCTAAACGACGACGCTTGAGCCATGAGATTACACCCGCTAAAGAAGTACCGCTGCCACCAGCAAAGAATTCGCTCTTCCTTTTCTCCGATGACGACATAATCTTATCCTCGGACGGTCCCGCCCCTGCGAAACCTCCGGCCTGGAATGGAGAATCCGACCCGATCGTTTTTACCTCGTCGGCGCCTGAAACAAGACACAATCTGCCAGTCAGACCAGCCATATCATCGCGTGATATCAACCCTATCCCTATAGATGACGAAGATGATAGTATTCCCAACGGCACCCGCAACAACCGACTACGGAGGGAGGAGATCCAAGTGTCCAGCGACCAACTCGATTTCCCAGACGTCGACGATCTACTTGATGTAGCTCAGCGAGTGGAAGCAAATGCATTCTCAAGCCGGACAGCGAATCTGCTAGCAACCCTGGAAGACCGTTCTCGCGGCAGCAATGACGACTCGGTATCACGATCGACGAGAGGCCGCAAGCAGCAGGATCAGAGCGATGACATAGATGTCGAAGAGATGCCACCACCGCGGAGGCCCCAGCGCAAAACTACCAAGGTTTCAAATGAAGAGAAGGAGGCTAAAGCCAGAGAGCGGGAGGCGGCCAAGGCGCAAAGAGAGCGAGATAAACAACTCGAAAAGGAGCGCAAGCAGAAAGCCAAGGAGGATAAAGCCCGCGAAAAGCAACTGGCAGCGGACATTGCTGAGGTCAACAAGCTCAAGGTGGACAAGAAGGATTCCACGCATGAGATGCTAATTGACCTCGCCTCTACATTTACCGACACAAGTCTCGGAAACCAAACATCAGAGCTCATGTGTCTTCTCAAAGTCGATCTCACATTCTTCCCCAGTGCCATCCCAAATATCGTCAAGTGGCGTCGCAAGGTCCGAGCTACATATAATGACTCTCTTGGACACTGGGAACCGTGCGCGCTTCACATCCGTGAGGAAGAGGAGCACGTGTTGTGCTTAATAGCGGCCCAGGACTTTATTGATATGATCGTGCCTCCTCCAACCTCCGAACCAAGAAACACTGTCAGCGACCACGTTCAACGCTTGAAATCTGCCTACCCAAAGTCTCGGCCGATCTATTTGATTGAAGGTCTAACGAGTCTGATGCGGAAGAATAACAATGCGCAAAACAGAGCCTACCAAGCTGCTGTGCGACGACAGTTTGAAGACACCTCTGCTCGTCCGTCAGGTCGGAGAAAACAACAGCAACCCGAAACTATTACACCCATAGACAGCGATACGGTCGAAGACGCTCTGCTCGATCTACAGGTGACCCACTCGTGTCTAATCCATCACACAAGCTCCCCCGCAGAATCCGCAGAATGGATCAAGAATTTCACCGAGTATATTTCCACTGTACCTTATCGCCGTGAGCGGATGGACCTAAATGACTCCGCATTCTGTATGGATGTGGGACAAGTCAAGCCCGGCGAGAACCGGTCTGACGCATTCGTTAAGATGATCCAGGAGGTGAACCGAGTCACGGCGTCAATGGCATACGGCATCGCGACACAATATCCAAGTGCGATGGACTTGGTAAATGCGATGAGGAAACATGGACCGGGACTGCTGGAAGACGTCAAGGTATGATCATTCTGTTCTCACCTTATTTAGTTACCTCTTCAAATTACATACTGACGGTTATACCTTCAGAAATCAGCAAACAAAAATGGCGCCCTCACCGACTCGCGCATCGGACCGGCCGTGAGTAGACGATTGTATAAAGTATTCATGGGAATGGATCCGACGTCGACCGACATATGAGCACATCTCTGATCGGCGAATATTGTCCGTCTCTTTTATTGGAGTTATGCTTGCAGCGGTATTGGTGCATATATTCTGGGTTCGTTATTGGCACGACAGATACGACTTCTACTGGTATACTCACAACCACCTTTTATTATCACGAATCGGCATTATATTGCCCGCAACATCATTATTGGTATCGGTCTATCTTGGTGTTCATATCTTCTCGTCTCTTGTATTTGGGAGTCTGGAAGACAGCTTGTATAGATATTACAACCCTTCACCAAATGAGTGTTGGAAACAGAAGTTTCCATCCGACAGCGTCTAGTTGGCATCCTAGATAATTAGATGCATCGCTAGAAATTGAGTCAGCTGAAATAAACATCCGCCATCAAGCTACTACGTACAGAATTCTCTGCATTCAGAATTCCACTATGACATGAATCGGCATTAGATCCCAGCAACCTCTAGACACGTGCCTTCCTCATTCTACCCGTAACACCCAACCCCTCTGTACTTTATCACTTAAGTAAGTGGGAAAATAGGTCTACGCAGTGTGTGACATAGTTACTAGAATCCTAGAACATCTACACCTACAGGTCACTAAATCCCTCACTAGAGTCCTAGAACATCTACACCTAACAGGTCACTAAATCCCTCACAATGAACAATAGCTTCAAACCGCACAATCTAAATTGATTGATAACAAAGGCTAATTTAACACGTCATAAACAAAGAACAGGCTAACTTTGAACATGCTGTACAGTAATTGTGATAGTGCTTTTATCTGAATTCAGGCTTACATCAAAACATCAGGGTTTGATTGCCCTGATGGATCTTCCCCCCGTGATGATATTGTTGAATTCAGGGGAAAGGAGGTCCAGGTAAACTGAATGAAGGCAGAGACGTAGTTTCAACGCATGACAAAACGGTATAAAATCCGCGTATCATAAATCAAGGCTCATTTGCGAAGTGTTGAAACAAGTAAGAACCAGCGAGAAGTATGTCAGTCAGTAGCCAATCTACAAAGCCCGCAGACTGATCGCGGAACTTCGCTTGGATACTGTCTTGTGCGTTTCCAGCCCCATTAGCTGGCGGACCGCCGTCTGTGCTGACCGCACACTGTAATCCATCGTCACGGCCACCTCTCCCGGGATGTCCACGAATTGGCCAATGAGTCCGAGATTGTCGATCCCCGGGGGTATCACTTGTGGTCGATCGCCGCGCAAGCGGGGCAACAGTGTTGCCGCTGCTCGTGGAACCACGCAAGGTAGGGTAATCGAGTGGTCTAGGATCCCCTGCACAGGGAAATTCAGTTGTTTTAATATCTCTTCCATGATTTCTTGTCCCGAGCATTCGAGCATGGGTTTCTTGACGTAGTCGCCCTCCCGCTCGGGGTACATTGCGTAGCCCCAGAGCACCTGCACGTGCGCAGGTTGATCGGGGAATAGAGGCTGCTGGGGGAGATTGATGCTGAGGAGCCAGGGAGTGTCTTTGAGGGTGACGAAAGTGCCGCTTCCTACTTTATCGCCGGTGAGGGCGGTAAACCGGTTGAAGAACTCGGGGGAGGAAAAGGTGACGGTGAAGGATTCGAGGCGGGACTCTCCCATGCGTGTGCAGAAGTTGTATGCATTCCCGAAGATAGGGTTTTTTGTGGACAGCTCTAGCCACAGAAGCCAGTTCTCGTCTAAGTCTTTCTCGATCTCCATTAGTTCCAGGGATGGTGGGGACGTATTGGTGCCCGTTGTGGAGCCGGACATAACCGAGCCTAGTGACACCAGCACGATGTCCCGCGGCCCTAGGTTTATCGTCTGCTCGGGCTCATTTTCGTGTATGGCTTTGATGGCTGATACCCGGTGCGGATCGCTGCTTGAAGGGGTAGTGATGATATCAGTGACTGTCGTGTGGAAGCGGAAGTCTACGCCCCGGGACCGCAGAAATTGAGCGACCGGTGCGACGATAGACTCGTGCCGGTTGAAACGGCCACCATCTAGCTTCCGGCGACGGTGGATCTCGTGGATGCTGTGCATGTAGTGTTGAAGGTAGCGCCGGAACTCGGCTGCACTATGGGCAGGCTTTATACCAAAGCTAGGAAGTTGTTAGGTATGGCAAATAAATGATACAAAGGTACGACTCACGTCGTGGAAAGTAGCATCCAGTAGCAGCTTTTAAAGAAGCTTTTGCTGAAATGGTCGCAGATGCGCGAGCGGCCCAGGGACTTGTCCGATTTCGAAACCAGCATGAACAGGTCCACGCGGTCGCGCAGTCCTAAACTCGCTCGTTTGGCGTCAATGCGTTCAAGACTATGTTTGTGACGGGCGAGGAAGCGAGTATGAGGACGATCTTTAATGGCTTCGGTGGCCCAGAACTCGTCAAGGTCTTCGAGAACAGACTGGTTTGACTTTGTCCTGGAGGGAACCAGAGAGAGGAGTTCTTCCATACAGGCGTCGTTGAATGGAGGCATCCCTCCTGCCCGGCAATCATATCCATTGATGGGGTCGCCCGTACTGATAGTCCCGCCGCCAGCTTGACTGAGGGTTTCAAGGATGTGAACACGAGATGGAGGCACATGCGCTTCCTGAATGAGGTGTACAGCTGCAGTCAGAGAAGAAATGCCGGCCCCTAGAATCCACGCATCCATCCCCTCTGGCGACCGGCGCTCAGGCGGAGGAGTTGGCGGTGCCGAAATGGAAGACATGACGGACATTGGTTGTCACTGCTTGAATGAGACAGCCACGAGGACAGCCAACCGGTATATAAAGCGACGCCCACGGCGTTCTGGACTTCACGGGTGTGGCGGGAAGGTTTCTGATGTCAAGGCTCGCCGATATCCTGACACTCTGGGAGAACCATGGATCGCAGCGGTTAGACCCACGCTGACGACACAATGATTTGCTTGCGCAAGATGGGCAGTGTATTCGATCCAGATAATATTCGTTCTAGCAAAGTCATCTTAGGTCGTGTTCATTCTAGAACTGGCCACGAAAATATGACTTCGGCTGGTTACTGTTACTGCCAAAGGGACACTGACCCCTGTATTCCTTTTCCAATACTTCTACACACTCACCCACAGACTTTCGTCCCTTTCCTTCGAAGTACCTCGGTCCCAAATTGGCTACATCAAAGCCCCCGGGGTAGTAGGTCTCGCCATCATCGCCGGGAAGTGGAAGGCCTAGGGCCCACGTCAACCACGCCGCTGGACCCCAGCGGTTCCAGACGGTGGGTTGCACGTAGTATGGCATTCCTTTCCAAATTCGAACATAATACCGACCCTCCTCATTAGGAGTATCGCTGAAAACCTCTTGTCGGAGAACCATCGGCCGAGGAAGCCCAAGGTATCGCAGAAAATACTTCCGTAGGGCTACTAGCCCCGTAAAAATCCTCCGATACCACATGGGTGGCGCCTCGTACCTGATTTATCAGCACATGGCTCTCGGCATAAGCGGTCATAAAGAATGTGTTGTGCAAGGAAAGCTCACATCATTGCTTCCCGCAATCTATTGTCCATCACACAGGTGGCAAAGCCGACGGCGACGCCTTTCACCCACTCGGGAAATCCGTAAACAATGACATCCATCGTCTTGTTCGCGACCAGTCTGTTCCGGTGGTCGGGTCTCATGTTCTCTTCTTCATAATGGTCACTCCACTGCCGGAGCTCTTCCAAGAAATGCAGGCCATCTCTGAACCCGCTTTTTCCCGACGGTAACGCATGATAGCTGATATCCAACGCATCTCCCAGGCTTTTCCAGTAAGTTCCAATAGCACACTGTTCCAACTCCGTCATTGCCCTCCACTCGAACCGCCCCACAAAGCGGATGGGTTCTGTAGCGAATAGGCTCAGAGTATAGAGCATGTCAGACTCGAGGATTCTACCGCTGGCACGGTATCCGGAGTGTAGGAATTTGGTCCGGGCAATGGCAGTGCGCGCACGAGAGGAAGTAGGAGGGCATGTCACGAACTGACCGATAAGGGTACCCGTATCTGCATAGCGCTTGAAAGAGGTGGCAGGGTCTGAAAGTTGGGAAGTATGCAGAAGGAGGGAAGAGATGGTCGGGATGCCGTATGTCTGGATGGGAGATTACATGTTATTAGTAGGATTCCATGATGAGGGGAGGTAAGGAGGAACAGTTACCCGAAAGAGTGCAAACTGAAGGGCTCTCACTGCAGTCGTAGGGAACTCGAGTTGCATTATGTTCTTTTGTATGGCCCATGCATCATGGACGGTCATTTGGGACATAGATGCACGGTTTGCATACTGTGGGTAGTCGCGGTAAAGATTGCGAGCGCGCTGGAAGCGAAGAGTGGAGACGAGGAGAAGGTAGGCGAGGAAGGCGAGTGTGAGGGTGATGGGAAGCGAGACTGGTAGTTGATGGATTGGAGGTGTGAGAGTGGTAAGGGAAAAGGTGGTTGTAAGGGGCATGATGGTGATGATCTCTTGTGCGGAGATTGGATGATGGATTCCAGATTCTGGGACGTTTGTATAGATCTATGATGAAGTTGGGATGCTCCATTAGGAAGGTCCGTCGGTCTGTGGTGCCCATTATATACTACAACCGCACGAAGACAGAAGTCACATTCCTGTGTATTATCATTGTCCCATACATTCTTCCCTATAGTCAGCAGCTCAATGCCTGTGGTATACATCCTCAATGGTTGCACCCGTCGTAACGAGTTCATATGCCACTATCTTGAACGGAACGCGGACCGAGGATGGGGAGCGCGGGGTGCCGATCACTAGGGCCGATCACTCGGATTGATGAGCCAGTCAGGGTGGAACAAATGGGGATTATGTGCAGCAGGTCTGATAACCCTTGCCGGAGGGATGAATCCGAAATCATACGAGCATCTTGTCTATCCGCAATACGCTGGTTGGGGTCGCGGCGGCCTATGAGATGCAGCATCTTAAAAGGGCAGATATCGTATTCAGCGTATTCCTAAATGGATAAAGGTAATGCGTCAGCAATAAAGGAACACAAATGACATGTGCGGAATAACCTCGGATAGTGTGGAGCTGATGTGGTGGTTGTCCACGGAAGAACAATGCACGTAACCGCGGGGTTGGATGAGGAGTGGTAGCACAACTTCTCAATCAACTGGATACATTCAGTTTCTTCTTCAGTACTGCCAGTCATACTATATACCAATCAGTTTTCACCTCCCCAAGTCAGTCTCATCTTGGGCAGGGTGTAGGGCGGACTCCTACCCATTTGGATCCCAATAGAAAATATAGTAGAATGAATAAGTACTAGGTAGTATACTAGATTACTATTGACAGAGAAGGTAATGACTGCATGGAGTCTGCCAGGGATCAGCTGACATGGTGGAAGTCATGTGCTACACCATCTCCTCCATCTCCTCCATCTCCTCCATCTCCTCCATCTCCTCCATCTCCTCCATCTCCTCCATCTCCTCCTTCGCTCTCTTCTCCCGATCAATCGACACTTCAACCATTACGTCCCGGTTCCCCGCTAAGCCCGGAGTTCCATCCACACTACCATGCACACGCGTACTGTATGCGGAAGCTCGCACTTGCGACCACTCATCCACTGATCCCGTTCCTGCAAAGGACAACGGCCTCGGCCATGACAGCGACCTCATCATCTGTGCGCGTTTTGAAGAGTCGCTGGAATTAGATGTTTGACCACGCATGGCGCAACATTTAATTTTGAATGTCTTTGTGACGCGGTGGAAGATCGGGCGCATCAAGATCACCGAAGTACATATGATTCCCAAATCAAGTTCGACAATGGACCATATGGACTGGAGGTATCCGTTTTCTGGGAGACATTAGCAATTTTCGTCGTTTGACCATGAGGGTAGATGGGTTGCATACTGGTAGCATCTGCCGTCACGTATCTCTTGAACGTGATCATACGCAGAAATCCGACGGCACAAACCCTGTTGTCACTGTCAGCATCATCCAGTCAACCAGTTTAACAATTTGCATAGCAGGAAACGTACAATCCACCAAATCCAAAAAGAAGACTTAATTCCACCTTCTGTCGGGGTGTCAGTTTCATTCCCCAAACCACGATCAAGGGCACCAAGACCAATACGAAATTCTCGGCCAGCGCAATAGACCCAGCTACGATGTAAAAGGCATTTCGCCCATGCATGCAGCTGCCATCAATATGTTTGATCCAAAAATAACGCACAGGCCAGCATTGGAAGATGCTGACAAGCAGGGAAGCAATGCCCCAGGCAAGCGTGAACACGATCAATGCGGTGGTAAGCTTCCGCCAATATGTGATGGCTCCGAAAAGCTTGCGGAGCAGAACGAGGTAGGAAATCTTCACGAAGACGTGGCCTAATACCCAAATTTTCGTTGAGCACCAGAAGAGCTAGCCCATTTGGTTAGACCTTGACCCTAAAGCGGGAGGTGGGTATACTCACCAAAGCGACTGTTCCTCTGGTAGGCCTGGAGAGGGACCAGAAATCGTGACCAACGCCGTTTAATGCCGCTAGATAATATGTAAGCTAATCGACAATGGAACTGGGTTTATGATGTAACTAACATATCACAGTACAGAGGGTTAGCCCGTATGAGAAGACAAGCCCTATGCCCATCAACAAATCACCAAGATCAAGTTTCTGACGGACAAGTCGCCGAGAATACAACCGGAGAATGAAGAAGAGGGTTGTCACGACAGATGCCACAATGGGAACAACGACGAGAGTGATGCCCCAATGATTGAGTGGCGTCATGGAGGCTGATGTGCTGCAGCAAGCCGTGCTTGTATCAACGCATTCATCTGGGTTGGTAAATGTTTTATCCAGGCAAAGTAACAGGGGATACCATTTTGTATACAGGACTATATACTTTCTTTTTCATTCCAACAGCATCTGCGAACGATCACGGCCGGAAGAATCTTCTCAATCGGCCCGCTGCAGCAACACAGGAACCCTCTTCGGCCGAATTTGCAGTGATGTCAACGAATCCGCGGCAGTGGCGACTACCCCAATCAACAATTTGCCGCAATCCGAAAGTCTAAAACGAACCCCCGGACATCTTCCGCTGATGCAGATTGACTCGGCCATATCGCGGACTGCCGCCGATTAGAAGAATCATGATTGGTTTGTTACTGCGATCTTTGATCTGTTGAGGTCATCCTGTTCCTCTTCCAGTATATCCCCCGGTACCCCAGGGACGACTCAAACACTCCGCTTCATCTCGGCTCCGCTATTACACCTGGCGTAACCAGACGGCCGGGTCCGGAACCAGAATATTTCGGCCGTAAGTGCCTAACTCTGTAGAATCCCTCCATCTCTGTCTCTTGTATTGACGGCCTTGTGGGTCACGAGGCTCGTTAAGCCGAGCCGCCTACATCACCACGTTGCCGATGCTGAATGTGAGATTTGCACAGTAACAGAAAAGGTCCAATTGCATTCTTGCTATGTCGCATCAACGAGTCTATTGCTCCTATGCAGCGATCCTGTGTCCCTGGACTTGCTGTTCGTGGATTGTGTGCTCATCCAGTCGTTGCTCTGAGAACCATTCTTTAACATTCTTCCACCGCAGTGTTGTTCGCACATTGCTCGACCAATCCTGATCAAAATGGAGCCATCTAGCATCTGTCAACCTCCAGCGTGGGTCTTCCAGCTCGCCGTCTCTCTCATAGAAGCCCCCACCGTATCGGGCAATATTCCAAAGCCACCACAGGGTCAGACGCAGGGGATCGTCTTCACCCTCGACCGAGAGCTGTTTCCGGTTGATTGCGAGATCAAGGATTTTGAAAGTCTTCCCTATCTCCACTAGTAGTTTGTACTGATCACGACGCATATAGTTCCTCCAAAAATCCCGATCGCGCTTTTTGGTCGGTTCCTTGAGCGGCCTTGAATCGTACATGAGAAGATATACCCCTCTCTCATCTACTGACTGGAACGGCGACTTGGGTGGCGAGATAGCAGCAACTGCCCAATAATGCCATGCTAGTCCTTGGACATGGTGCTCCCTCGTAACACAGAGCGTCCCCCAACTCTTATCGTCCTTTGTATGCATATACAGGTCTGCCACGGTGTGTGCATTGTGCTTGTCGGAGGAGGTGTATCCCCCAATTTTCTTGTCACGATCTGCCTTATCAATAAAGGACACCGGGCGATAGTGAAAAGTAAAGTTGACGTCTAGGTCTTTCAGGTTTCGTCGCATGCTAGCAAGATAGGCCGATATTGTGTTCAGCTCGTCTGTCTTATGGAGTGTTCGGATCTCCCAGGGTAAGTCTGTTGCCGTTGGCAATCCATGCTCGGAATCAACCCTATCAATAAAGGCCCATACGGTATCCCGACACGGAATTCCAACAGTGGCCGCACAATACCGTGGTCTCCTGGGAAGCCCATTTGTCCGGATTTCTAAGCTTTTGTGTTGGGTGAAATAGTCAACTTGACTAAACCTGGGACATTCAGACTCTCCATATTGATCAGCCATGCCATCATCTTCCAAAGGTTCTCCATCTTCATGATTACCATCACTCACAGCATGGCTGCCACCTGCATGATCTTCAAACGATCCCTCAAAAGCGGAATCCTCCTTAGCCCCGAAAGGCACACTAACCCCAGAAGACCTTTCCGTAAGGAGACCATGCTCAGCAGTATGCGCGGCCGTCGCAACAGGAAGCGACAATGCCCAACCAATTTTCCGTCTATTCCCAGGCACCTGATTCACCTTCAACATCGAAGTATCCACAGCCGACGATATGGGCCCAGTGTCATCTTCCCCTACTTTCTCAGACAGTATCGCTGGCCCTTCCGCAAGTGTTTCTGTTGCCCTCAACCCATTCTGATCCCCAAGCAAGTTGCCCGGCATGAAGTAGCCACTAATCGGCGGATAAGCCCCGCCACTTGGGATAGACTCTAGAGATCGACCATGAGCGTACTCCTGAGGAGGCTCTTTCTCGTTTCTCATCTCTTGCGGCTCGACGTTCGCGTCGGTGGCTGTAACGACATTCTGGCCGTTGCGTTCGCTTTCGCTTTCGCTGCCACTTTCACGTTTTCCCTTCGACTTGAGGGTGGGCTTGGTAACGAGGGATGTCGATATGATTGGGCAGGTTGCGGTAGGGTGACAAGCCATGAGCGCGAGACTCAAGTAGGAGGGTTTCTCTTTGTAGTTTGCTGTAACGTATGTGGTAATGATTGTGAAGGTAGGCTCACGGTGTTAGGAGGAGTGAACATAGAAGACAAATGGCCGATGTCAGCTGACTTTAACGTATATCAGAATGTGTAGAACCTGTTTCGTTGATAATATTGGGTTGGGCGTTGGAATGGTGATCAATGAGTGATTATGCTTGACACTTTCGGTCGCTTTGAGATCCCCTTTTTATATCCTTGTCTCTCGTTAGACCACATTAAGAAGGAGCAATAGTTCGACCACTACTGCTGTCGTACATTTACTCGACCTCATTAACGATCGATCGACCTAGCTAACATACAGACCGTCATCGCCGGATCACCTCTCCGTCCTATGTCACTGATGACCGCTCCTAAACGGATTCGCACGCGGGAAATGAGGATTCTCGATATCCCGTTTGGACTTATTTTCCTCGTGGACCTCAATCTCGGTCGTCTTTGTGATGATTGTATGGTCCGAACATCTTCCCGGGGAGACAAGACTATCTTCGTTGGAAGCTACATTCACCAAACCGGTTTCGTCAGCGAATGTATCGAAAAGTGACTGGTCGGGTTGACGACGAGCGAGAGGAATCGGTCTTTGTCTTGCTGCTGCTGCTGCTGCTGCTGCTTCGGAGTGGGAGCGTTTGTAGTATGAACCTGCGTAGCGTGTTCGATGCAAGGCAAAGTTGTATGATTGCCGTAGCGTGGGGAGAGTGGCGCATATTATGATAACGTACATCTGTTGATGGATTGCATGGGCGCCACTTAGCGCATGATAAAAGTATATAGATAGCTTGGCTGTGCTGAGAGGAAGGTTCCTGCTTACCTCAATTCTAGTGGTTCGGAAAACATGGTGTTAGCTTGGTTTTGTTGTGGTTTAGTAAACATGAACCATGGAGAAGTGAGTGGCGTACGAATACCATGTTGTAATATCGGCCCATGACCCTGGAGTTAAATGTTCTAAGCTTCGTCTTCGAGTGTCTGGGCCTGCACGGAACATCGGTGCTTACAGGTCATGTCTGAATGGACCGGAAGGCTTTTTAGAAGAATAGCTTTGACCAAGGTTGCTGCCGCCGCCCTTCTGGGATCAGTTGAGTTTATTTGGTTGGGTTGGAGGTACTTACAGGATTCCTGCGCCCATGACAGCTATAACCCCTAGCTTCATTTTCCAGGACAGCTGGACGGACCAGAAAATGATGACTGGAAATAAGGCCAAGGTAAGGTCGGCGAAAGCGTTGAATGCTGTATGATGTTATTGTCTCGACGCATAGCTACCGGGCAGTGTTGGCACTCACAGGCTTGCGATATCCCAGCAATCAGCTGAAACTTCAAGCTAAAGCAGGAGCCGGGAACCTCTGGCCGCCAGATCTTCTCCGCAGGCCGGCAGTACCCCATAATGGCAATGATGGCCAGCACATTCCAGGCAATGGATATTACACTGAAGATATATAGGAACCATCGTTTTGCCGAGGACGCTGTCTGGCCCATTAAGCGCAGCAGGAAGACGGCCACCGATAGCTTGCCTGTTGTGGTGGAGACCATGGAGAAGTTGGGTGCGATGACAGTATATTTGAAGGCCTCGATTTTCCATTCCCCATTGGAAATGTCGGCCATGTGTTTCCCCAGCCCATAATGCACGCCAGTTTGCGCTAACCCTGAACATACAACAGCGCTCAACTGCGTCCATGCGGCGCCTGGGTTTTAGCCGCCATTTTTTGCGGTAGGATCTTGCAGGGTTAACTTACCAGGGAAAGAACAATAAAGAAGTCGTCCCAGCCTGCTTTGCGAGTCAGTATTAGCCGGGTGTACAGTCTAATGGCGACGACTATGATCGCCACGCTTCCAAAGCTCCAGGACACGGCAGTGATCTGTGGGCCTTTGTCGTCAGGCATGGTGGCCGGACTTAACAATATATCATTGCTGCTCAATCAAGGGGGAACACTTTGGGGGTCCTTGAAATATAAAGCTGTACCGAGTAGGCGCTTTCCCGATCGAGCGATATGGTCGATACTTGATTATTTACGAGAATATTAGACAAGCACAAAGAGTTTCTTTGTTCAGCCGTCGAGCGATACATTGACTATCAACACATGGCGAGCGGGATGGCCATGTCTCGGGATTTGCCGTGATTTGGCCGTCGGGGTATACGAAGGGGATCGACTGCCATATGCCAAAAGACCCACCTGCAGGGGTCTCTTCGGCCTGTGCTTTTGCTAGGCACGAAAGCCAGATCAGCCCACAGCAGGCGCCTTTTGTCCGGGCATCAGATAGACGAGCCCAGCGTGTGCGGACCAATTTTTGGGCAGCCTGTAACATAGCACCAATATGCGCAATGACCTCCGGGAACCTTCGAAAACATTCAGAACTTCTGTCACGGCGTACTGTCCCTGTCAATTGTCCGGAAGGATTGAAAGCAGAGCTCAAGTCAAAGCTCGGAACACCATAGCGCTTCCGCGAGGCACCGGCGCGGCGCTAATGCAGCCAGAGCGTGTGGCGCGTGGGAGGACGGCACCTAGGTGACGGAACTGACAGCCGGTGGCGGCCCTTTACAGGCCCTATCCAACCCTATTTTCACGATGGCGCTGCTAGCTCTTCTAGTTTGGCATTGCGGGCCTCTGTTGATGACCAAAAGTACTGCATCTTGGCCTAGCTGGGCGCTTACCCCCAACTCTGATTGATGTGACAGGTCCACCCGGTGCATACCGTCCTGCGCCTCCTGCCATAACGAGTAAAAGGCTGTCGCAAAGCTGTACCTGGCTGAATCAGAACAACAAGGCTCCCAACTACTGTAAAAAGACAGACCTTCCCTTCTCCCCTGTTCCCTGTAGTGCTGCTTCCCGTGCATATGTTAATCATGTCTAGCAATAGTTGTCACGCCAATGGCGTCTCTCAAAAGCCATTCGACGGTCTGATTCGGCAGGTCGCGCAGGCTGCAGATGCTTTTCAAGATAGTCATAACGAAGCGGATCGCTTGGCTGCCCTCCAGGCGGCGCAGAAGCTGGTGGAGGTGTTTCAGAAGCCGCAAGATGCAGTGTATAATCTAGCTTACTCGGTATTAATATCCTCCAAGAAAAGATGAGCACGAAGTACTGACCCGTACCAGCCCACCCAAGTGATGTGTGTGCGCATCGCCATGGACCTTGGTATTTTCTCCACGCTCAGTGAGCGGAATGGTCCAGTTACGCTGGAGGATCTGGCAGCCACGAAAGGGGCAGATCTTGTCCTGACTGGTACTGTTATCCCAATCACGTCTATGAGTCAAGCTGCTGAGATATTCTGGGAACAGAAAGGGTGCTTCGTATCCTTGCAGGGATTGGATACGTTGCAGAACATGATGTACGGGTCTACATCCCCACCAAGATGACCAGGCAGATGACAGACAGACTTAGCGGGGCCGTAGTGAGATTCATGTAAGTCAGTCACATAGGTGGCAAGGCCGAACTGACACAACGTCAGCTTCGATATCGGTATGCCTACCTTGGCTAAAGTACCCGAGTTTCTGCGTATGACCAACTTCCGAAACCCATCGGGTGCTCAGAATGGTGCATTACAGTACGCAGAGAAGACAGAAATGTCGCTGTGGGACTGGGTGCCGACCAAACCAGGTTTCTTGGACGTTTGCAATACTTTTATGGAAGCAGACCGCGGAAGCCGGCCTAGCTGGCTCGAGTGGTTTCCTGTCAAGGAGAGGATTATTGACGGATTCAAAGAAGGCGAAAGTAACGTCCTCTTGGTGGACATAGCAGGTGGGCGCGGCCATGATTTGGTTGCTTTCCAATCCAAATTCTCTGAAGTGCAGGGACGGCTCATCTTGGAAGATCTGCCTCATGTCGTGGCTGAGGCTACTCAGCACCCCAAAATTGAGCATGTATCGTTTGACCTGTTCAAGGCACAGCCAATACAAGGTATACTCGCTGATTAACACCTGAAGCGCTTCTTATTCCTAGTTTGACTGTATACCTCCGCAGGTGCGCGCACCTATTACATGAAATTCATCCTTCACGACTGGTCAGACGAGGAAAGTCGCCTGATCCTGAGTCATCTTGGAGCAGCAATGAAAAAGGGATATTCCAAACTGATAATCGAGGAATTCGTATTGGCGGACAAGGAATGTGCGATGCTGCCAGCCATGTGGGACTGGGAGATGTTAATCTTCTGTAACAGCATGGAGCGAACGGCCAGTCAATGGATGAAAGTGCTGGATTCGGCTGGCTTCAAGATTGTGAAATTTTGGGCACCCCCTGGTGACGGACAGAGCATCATCGAGGCGGAGCTGAAATAACCTGCTGAAGACATGAAATCAGTCCGGTCAAGTCAGATATAACCGAGAGATGATAAACTAGTAGGATGAGAATACCCTAGTTTCTGGGGCTCATGACATTAGCTTCAATTCGACGATCTGTCGCCTCGAATTTGGCAACGTAACCGCGACTTACTCAATAGACCTAGAAGCCAGTGCCAGCGCAGAGATGAGCTGGGAGATGAAGTAGATAAATAGGATGCTGAACTCATAGGTCTTTCTGGGGAAAGGGAAACACGTGGTCCAGTGGAAACTACTACCACGCGTCAGTCAGCTGACCCAGTCCCGTCTTCTCATCATCACCAACTCAGATACTATTAACTGACCAGTTCATCGAGAATAGCTATAGTGAGTGGACTCTTGGTGCCTGTATCTAGCAGAAAGAGCATATGCATCAGTGAGCTGTCTTTGACTGCTTCCACAAAGTTAGTCCCCATCCCTGCTCCGAGACTCGCTATTACTATGGCTGTGATAAGTTGTGAGATGGTCCACTTGTTACAGCCACTATGCCTGAGATCTACTGACTGTCAACAATACAAAGTATCCCTGTCCTCAATTGCCAGGGAAAGCTAGACCCCAGGTCCTGGAGAACCCTACACGTATGAAATATCCCTCAGCACTGGTGAGGCTTCTCCGAATTCGTCCATGGACAACGCAGAAACGATAAGGGTACCTTCCCAGCAACAATATGGTCCTTTATTGTCCACTCAATGACACAGTCCTAGCGCAAGTTGTATTGTGCCATATCATGAGATAAGGATACAACATCTGAAACTTGGAGAAGTGTGGGAACATAGCCAAACGTACAGTACAGTTGGACCTCAATTTACTCCGCAGGACAATCCTACCCGAATGTGTTGCCTGCCACGTAGCAGCCAACTGGTAGGTTCAAGACACATCACCACACCATCTAAATAGCGAAGGACAGACTAGGTAATCTCAGCTCTATATGAATTTTCCTCGGTCTGAATTTGAGCGAAAAGATGAGACTGATCAACGCAAGAACATACCAGTTGGAAGAATACCTCGACAGTGATATCCCCGAATATGCAATCCTGTCACATACGTGGGGAAAGAATGAAATTTTCTTTCAAGATCTTCAGGCACTGTCAACAGGCTCCAGGTATTGGGATCGTGTGGTGGGCAAGGAAGGATTCTTCAAGATCAAGTATACCTGCCAGCAAGCGATCAGGGATGGTCTAGATTACGCTTGGGTTGACACATGCTGTATCAACAAAAGCAGTAGTGCGGAAATCTCTGAAGCTATCAACTCCATGTTCCAATGGTACATGCGATCAAGCAAGTGCTATGTTTACTTGTCTGACATCCCCAGCGACTACGGTGAAATTCCGCTCAGTGAGCAAGCCGGAAGCTCTGTCGAACCCGCCAGAAGACGCAGGCCTAGTAAGTACGATGCGATGATCAATGGGCCCTTTGCAAAATGCCGCTGGCTCACCCGAGGGTGGACATTGCAGGAGTTGATTGCGCCTAAGGATTTGACCTTTTATGGGTCTGGTTGGAACTTCCTTGGTACAAAAGCATCAATGACAGCCCTCCTCTCTACCGTCACTGGGATAGACCAGCGCGTTCTTGGAGACTCGACAGACACAAAAGAGTCACTGAGATCAGTATGTGTCGCACAGAAAATGTCATGGGCAGCTAAGAGGCGGACTTCCAAGATAGAGGATGAAGCATATTGTCTCCTCGGTCTGTTTGATGTTCATATGCCTATCCTCTATGGCGAAGGCAAAGGTGCATTTATTAGACTTCAGGAGGAAATCATCAAGAGTTCCGATGATCACACCATTTTTGCATGGAACTATTGCGACATTGAGCAAGAGAGCCAGTATACCGTCCTTGCTCCGTCTTCATCCTGCTTCCTCAAGAATGTCGTTCAGTGGTCACGTCCGCGTAACAGTGGGCCATACGCAATGACCAACCGAGGCCTCCACATTTCGCTCCCCGTCATATATCAAAACCGGCCTAAGGATAGCTGCTTCGCGCTCTTGGACTGCCATTATGACGATGATGTCACAGGCACCTTGGCCCTTCCTCTTACTCCTCGATCAGACAACACGTTTGACATCGATTATGACATCTCGCGGGGACGGGTAGTGAGAATTGACTTGGGACTAGAAACAACAGCCATGACTCGAGACCTCTATATCCGATCACAGTCCAATGTTCCTGACCGGGGGCCACAACTGACATGTCAATTCCACATCAATCGGGATGACTCCAAAACAGCGAGTCTGCGCATAACGGAATACTACCCATCGCGGATCTGGGACGCTGAAAATCACCGACTACGACTTACCTCCAACGACTCGACTTCCCTGGAAACATGGGCTGCTGTTAGGTTACAAGACTCCCATGAAAGAGCCATCGGAGTTGTGTTCCGCGTATCACCACAAAGGAGGCCAGAGGGCACAACGACCTTCAAGGTACATGGTTGGGTCTACATGCAGACTATGAGGCCCGAAATGACCCTCTCGCATGTAGTCGATCAGGTCATTCGCGGCTGCGCCTCAGCTTCAGCTTATGAATACGGGAACCATGGATCCTACACCCTTGCCTTAGGCCGAAGACATAGCATGGTTGCGACCAACACTATAGTCAATGGGAATGGCTCAGAGACGCTCATGAACGTGACTGTGGCTGATCGGTATTCGCCTTGCACGTTGCGACGTGTCTTTGGCGCGACTCCGAAACCCTCGAACGCTACAGAAACACTTTCCAAGGAGAAGGATCTCCGAACAAGCGTGTCTACAGATTAGCAACAGGTGGAACTCGACTCCCATGGGAAGA